TTCTCAGAATCTGTTGGGTTAACTTCACACCTTTATCTGCTCGTAGTGCACGTATTTACTTGAAACTCTTCGGATATAATTTAATATTATATGTTTTGCATTTCAAAATGTCTATTGAAGTTCGTTATGTGCCAATTTTCCCACTTAACACGCGCATGGGCCTATATAATTGGGTTTTTCCGCTTATCAGGAAATCGAAATTTGTCATAGGCAAAATTATCTATCCCATTACCGGTGTGTTATATTCACACCGCCGTATGTATATTATCTGAACACTCCCTTATACCTTTTACATCTATGTATCCGCAGCTCTATCCTTCTTCTCCCTGGTTACCGGTCTTTATGTCCTGCACTTCTCCATAGCCCTGATCCTGGTCAACAAGGAGGTGCCCCAAACGCGCGGAATGCTGTATCCCAGGGAATCTGAGACGCGTGAGGTGCGATCTCTGGACGGGATCTGGAACTTTGTGCGCTCCGATCAGGCGAATCCCACGCAGGGAGTGCGGGATGAGTGGTACGCCAAGGAGTTGAGCCAGAGCAGGCCGACGATCCCGATGCCAGTGCCCGCCTCCTATAACGATATAACCACCGACAATCTGAGAGATCACGTGGGCACCGTGTGGTACGACCGCAAGTTCTTTGTGCCCCGCTCCTGGGCAAAGGATCAGAGGATCTGGCTGCGGTTCGGCAGTGTCCACTATGAGGCATATGTGGTGAGTGTAGAAATATATTTTTAGATTCTCTGAAAATTCATTTTCAAATAATTATAAACCACTATTTGCAGTGGATCAACGGTCAGAAGGTGGTAAAGCACGAGATGGGTCACCTGCCCTTCGAGGCGGAGGTGACGGACCTCCTGAACTTTGGGGCCGAGAACCGCATTACAGTGATGTGCGACAACGCTCTGATCCAGACGACAGTGCCGCAGGGCAGGATCACCGAAGTGCCCAACGATGGTGGGATGACCATAGTCCAGAGCTACACCTTTGACTTCTTCAACTATGCGGGGATTCACAGGAGCGTGCATCTGTACACCACGCCCCGTACTTTTATCGAGGAGGTTGAGGTCACCACAAACCTTTCGGGGGATGCCAGTGGTAAGAATTTAGACTGCATTATCAGGGGGTCCCCTAAATGTGCAGAGAAGAATAGGCTCTTTAAGCCAGTGGTGGCCAGCAATAGCAGCACACATACAACGAAAGTGCTTAAAACTCGCAGTGCTTTACAGCGTACGTGTGCGCCGAAACGCTGGTAGCGCAGCGGCAGACGCATTGCCTATCCCATGGGTCTGGCGTGCTGCTTCTGCCGGCCACCACTGCTTTAAACCCTAAAGAGTTTGTTCTTTATTGTACTTTTAAGGATTGGTACTATTTAGTAATCAATACAAATTTTTTAAATACTTTCGTTTCTAATTTTCCTCTCCCTTACAGTGGGCGAGGTCTTCTATAGCGTAAGCGTCAACGGAAGCGCTGCCAACGAGGCGGATAATGTCCTGCAGATTCAGGCCAACCTCTACGATAAGGAAGGTTTATTGGTGGCGAATGCCACGTCGGACGGGAAACTGGGCGGCAAGTTGCAGGTGAACCAGGTGAAGCCCTGGTGGCCCTACCTAATGCACGCGGAACCCGGGTATCTGTACGAGCTGGAGATCAAATTGCTGGCGAGCAACGAGGAGTTGTTGGATGTATACCGGCTCAAAGTGGGAATACGCACATTAAGTTGGAACAAAAAGCAGTTCCTGATAAACGGCAAACCCGTTTATTTCCGTGGTTTTGGACGACACGAAGATGCGGATATTAGGGGTAAGGGTCTGGATAATGCCCTGATGGTTCGCGACTTCAACCTGCTCAAGTGGATCGGAGCGAATGCGTACCGCACCTCGCATTATCCCTACTCCGAGGAGTCCATGCAGTTTGCGGATGAGCACGGCATCATGATTATCGACGAATGTCCCAGTGTGGATACAGAGTTGAGTTATTCCCGCTTCACGGAGGGCTTCTTGCTAATGCTGTTATCATTGATTTTCAGGAACTTCAGCCAGGAGTTGCTGGGCAAGCACAAATCGTCGCTGGAGCAGCTCATCCATAGGGATCGCAATCATCCGAGTGTTGTGATGTGGTCAATTGCCAATGAACCTCGTACCGGCAGCATGAGTGCGGACTCGTACTTTGAGTGGGTATCCTTAAACTTGATATTTATCTTTCATTGAATAATCTATTATTATTCATTGCAGATTGGTGGCCAATTATACGCGATCCTTGGATAGTTCCCGACCAATTACGGCTGCCATTGCTGTTCCCCACACCCAGGATAAGGCGGTAATTAGAGGATGCCTTTTATTGAGATTGATTTTCATGCAAACTTTATATTCCAGGGACGTTCTCTGGACATTATCAGCTTCAATCGCTACAATGCCTGGTATTCAAACGCCGGACGTCTGGATATGGTTACCCAGAACGTGATCGATGAGGCCACCGCCTGGAATAAACATTACAACAAACCCATTATCATGTCTGAGTATGGAGCGGATACCCTGGAGGGTTTGCATATGGTGAGTTTTCAAAAAATGTTTTATCTGAAAATGGGTATCTACAAAAGGATATCTCTAGACCCTTTAAGAAATGTATTTATTATTTAAAAATAAAGTTAAATAATCCATAAATACTACTACTTTATTCCCCTAATAGCAACCAGCTTATGTGTGGTCCGAAGAATTCCAGACGGAGGTGTTTTCCCGCCATTTTAAGGCCTTCGACGAGCTGCGCAAAAAGGGCTGGTTTATTGGCGAGTTTGTGTGGAACTTTGCCGACTTTAAGACAGCCCAAAGTGAGTAAAAATTAACTTTAAAATTGCTTTTAAATATATATTACATTTTACAAAATTCAGGCTATACCCGCGTGGGCGGCAATAAAAAGGGCGTGTTTACCCGCGCCCGTCAACCCAAAGCAGCCGCCCATCTCCTCCGAAAGAGATACTTTGCCTTGGGCAGGGATCTGGACCAATGCAACTTCCCGGACGATCTCTTCACCTACATCGCCGACCTGATATCGTAATGGATAGCAGGATTTTGATACCACCTCAAGTATTTGGCCTCTGTATATAAGCTTGCTCGCCAAGGAAAGCGTTGTCCTTGGACACTGCCATCAGCATTTTTACCCAATTTCCATTCCGCTGCATTTGCCCTGTACAATATTAAATGATTAGCTTTAGATGATTGTATTTTTGTATGTATTTGTAAGCGTAAGATAATAAATGAAAGTGCATTATTTATATTTATGCCTTATGACATTTGCTAATAGGTTCACAGGATTTAATATTCCCAAATTGCTTTTTTAAGTAAACGGCTTAAAAATAATTATGTTTGGCGGTCAACTATCGATAGGTAACGATAGAAAGTTGATAGCACTGTGCTGCCGATTGTGAAGTTCAAAATAAAATTTGAGCTGGCAACACCCTATATAAACCGCGCATTTTAAATTTTGAATGAATATAATTAACAAAAAAATGTATTAAAACCAAAACGCTTAAAAGTTATACATATGTTCCGATAAATCTGAATATGATAAACATTAAAAAGACATTTTTTTTCTTAAAGCCAAATTAAAAACCAATTTCTTTCGTAGTTTAAAAGTTAAATAATAAGTGTGTATTCAGAACAGTGATATTTATTTAACTAATTTAACCTTTTATTTTCCGACCCCAACAAAATCAAACATTGATCTTTTTTTTTTGCATGAAAGTTGAATTTTTATTTAAATTGCAGCCAATGAATTTTATAGTAATCTCATTAGTTTAACTTATGCTGTTTGTTTTGCAAATATCCCAGAAAGTTGGCCCTCATACCCGGCAATAATTCTTTTGAAAATGCGCGCCAATTTGTATGAACCGAAAACAAAGAACTAAATTGAAACAAACAGAAGCAATCGCCTTTGGCAAATTTTAGCTAGAAAATTGTGTGGGTGTTTGTTCGAATTATTGCGAGGTATAGGGCCAGGTGGGACTTGCTTTATTTCTATTGGTATTTGGTAGTTAAAGATAGACAGATCTGCAAACACTTAATCACTAAGTAATGACGTCGGCTTAGAGTTTTCGTAGAGTTTTTGATTTTGGTTTTCGAATAGTTCGCTTGGTAGTTTAATGAAGGTTAAACATCTTGATATCCTTCGCTTAATCTTAACTATTATGCATCAGTATGCAATTTATTTTCTAACGTGTTTTATTTTTGGTTTAGCTAATTACGTTTTACCCATTTTTCCCGAAAGTAGTTTGCTCTCAAATATTACACGTCATTCGAACTGTTTGCTTATGAGATACGTAATATGCCAGCTTATTCAAAGAAATCCGCGACACACAATTACCGAACTAACACATATGTAATAGTACAACAGTTTTATATGTAATTTAATTTACCTTAATGTGGCTTTAACAATACGTTTAAATTTAATTTAAACTGGCTTCCACCGGTTCGATAAGTTATAGATCCTATATCAATATTACAGTTTAGTACGATGCTCAACAAATGTACTTAGGTCTAAGATGCCTATTAAATGTCTCTAGCTGGGCTATACATAATCGAGTACTCGCTTCAGTTATAACGATTCCAATGCCTTGGTTCCCATTTCCCAATCCTTAGTCAATATCCCAATCCTAATCCCTTTCTTGAAGCAGAGACGAGAGATAGAGTCTAACACCTAACATAGTTATGGGTTATACAATTCACGTTAAGTTGGAAAACACATAAAAAGTTGGTAGTAGATTGCTCTATATGTCAATTATGCGGTAGTGGCTTATATCTAGTTATTTTGATTAGATACTTTTGTATTTCCTTGGTGGCATCTCTCTCTTAACTTCACTTCATTCCCTCAACTTCTTGCTTCTAAAAACAGTCTCCACTCTATAAATTTAGCTATAACTAACATAATATATTTGCATGGGTGTTAACATCAATTCAATCCGCTATTTACACATTTAATGACTAATGGTTATGTGACTGCTCCTTCGACCTTCGTTTTTCGTCCTTCGTAGCTCATCCTTCTCATCGTCTTTGGTATACAAGATGCGTTAATCCTCGCCTGGTTATAGCCGAAGAGGTTAGATCAACATCCGCCCGTCGGTTTAGCAGAAGCGTCTGTGAAAATAGTGCAAGATTCATTAGTAAAGTGTGTGAATTGCTCCGGGGGGGCTAAAAACTTTTTGCATTCACGTAAAAGTTCATCGCCAGGCTAAGCTGAATCTCTGCAAATTAATGTTACTTAATTTAACTTTCATGTTGCCTTTGGAAATGGGAATGAAAATGAATGAATGGCAAAGATTTAGCTGCTGCCACACGCAGATGGCTTTTCCTTCAGCAATGCAAATGGTAACTATTCAAAACTTGTGCCCGCCCTTCTTTGTAGATAAAGCCCCATTTCCCGATTCGGATTTGGGTTTGGGTCTTTAGCGAGGGTTGTGGCATAATTCTAATGCATTGACCAACATCGTGGCATGCAGATGACAGGTCCCGATAAAGGTCTGATAAAAGTTTCGCTGTCGGCCCAAAGTTCTTGTCTCTCTTTAAAGCCCCCACGAAACTCCTTCAGCAGTTGCAGCCGTGACCTCCCTCCTCTCCACTCAACAGTCCAGGCAATATCAATTTTGGGTCAGGTCTCGAGCATTGAAAATTGAAACTTGCCAGCCAGAGACAATAACATAAAGGGAATGCAATTGCGTGTGCGTCGAATCGATTCGAAAGGTTTCCAATTGCCGCCGGCCAAATTGACTAACACAATAACCATAACTGGTGGGTTCAGAGAGAAATTAATACTCTTATATCACCGTAAAAATGTTTGTTTTTAGCTTTGCGGATTAAACAGGATTTTCCGTTAAAAATTGTGACAATTCTGTTGTATAAGAAAAAATCCAAAACATCAGAGATTAGAAATTTCTCATAAAACTGTTTCAAATAACATTTTCATTGTTGGCTTTATAAATGTTGCTAGTTAAAACAAAATATATATTCTATACTTGATTTTTGGTAAGGGATGTTTTCAGGAAATATTCTAAGGCCCTTCGATGATTTAAAGTAAATAGTTTGCATTGCATTTTTCTTCAAGTGTAGCCATATTGCTGGGTATTGGTTACAGCAAGGATTCCTCACCTTCGCCTCTTCGCATGCACTATCTATAGCTTCCCGCTGCGGTAGTGGACTGGTCGGTGGCCGCCGAAGAGGATACGCTTGAAAGCCTGTCGGAACTCCGGACTGAAGATGGTGTAGATGACCTGCAAGAGGGAATGATTTCAATCAAAATTCAAAGGGAGAGCAGAATGCGGTAGAATGTTGAAGGCAATTTTATTGACTGGACTGAATATGAAGTTGCTGGACTCCCAAGATTTACTATTTTTGGTCAGTGCTGAATTTAATTAGGTATGAAATGGATACAATATAATCCAAAACAATACCTATTTTATTTGAATAATATTTTAAATTTTTTCTTCTAATCAGAATTACTATAATGTTTTCATCACCAAATACAAAAGAGGCTGTGTTAAATCACTATGGACGGCAGTCCATGTAGTGACGAAGCGCACCAGGAGAGTGTGCGAAGGCGACTACTATTATATAGCCGCAAAATTGAAAATCTGCTGTGATAGTCCGATCGTAATGAGTAATACACCAATCGAAAGGTATTGCAAAAACTTAAAGGATTGCATACCAAGACTTTAAGAAAATCAATTGGCTTGGGAGAGAGAGCGGTGAAAGTGAAAAAGTGAAAATTTCGAAATTTGGAGCTGTTGGGGCCGGTGGGGATAAATGCCCCCTCGCAATGTTTTAGTTGTATTCCTTTTAAAAATACCCGTCGAATGAGGGGTCATTTGTCAAATCCGACGCTCCGTTCAAAAGTTATAGCCAAAATAAGATTTTCTTCTTCTTCCCAAAATGAAAATTAATTTCTGTTTGTCAGTTTGTCCACTTGTCCACTTGTCCACTTGTCCACTTGTCCACTTGTCCACTTGTCCACTTGTCCAAAACATGTTTTTTAAGTTTTGAAAATTTTATATGACGTTCATCACATCGATATAAAAAACTTTTGTTCTACCACTTTTGGAAAAACTCGCTAGTTTAGCGGGAAAACAGCTATAAATAGCTAAAAATCGGAAAGCCGTAACTTCTATACTACTAAAGCTACAGACTTGTGCTGCATCTCGTTTGAAAGGTATTTTTAAATGCTATAAACGCCTTCTATATGCAATTTGTGTAAATGTAATAATTAAAAAAATATGAACAAAAGACAATTTTTTAAAACTTTTTTTAGGTTTTTTTATTTTTCTCAAAAACGGCTCTAACGATTTTCTTTAAAACCTTAAACTGTATAGCCCTTGAGATTCCTTAAATTTTGGTATATAACACATTACTGTAAAAAGTCACGTTTAAAAGTTATTTTTATACGAAAATAGCCACTTTTGCCAGCTCGAACAATTAACGCTCCCTGAGTATTGAATTTTGTGGGAGGGTATCCGAACTGTATTTTAGGGTCATGGAATCAGTAAATTTGCACTTAAGAGTTCCATATAGGAATCTTTTGTTCTACGACTTTTGGAAAAAGCCGCTACTTTAGCGGGAAAATAGCTAAAAATGGCTAAATTTCGTTAGTTTTTAAGTTCTACACTACCAAAGGTACAGACATGTGCTATACCTCGTTTAAAAGGTATTTTGAAATACTTCAACGCCTTTTTAACTTAATTCGTTAAAATACAATAGTTTAAGAATTATGATTTATGACCAATTTAAATTTAAATGTTTATATTAGCACCTATGAGAGCAAAAGTAAACAAACAAAAACTTCTGATATCAAATAAAAACACCTCTTAACGAGGTAAAAAACTAGTGACGATCGCACCTTCAACGTACAAAGTTCTGATATCAACTTTTGTGACGATAAATAATTTTAGATGCGACTAAATAAGTACGCTACCTAAAATTTATTCATTCGGCACGCTAAAACAGAAAAACATTCGTGTAGATATTAAATATTTGCTAAAGCGGGCCGAACGAGTAAATTTTAGGTAGCGTACTTATTTAGTCGCATCTAAAATTATTTTTCGTCACAAAAGTTGATATCAGAACTTTTGTACGTTGAAGGTGCGATCGTCACTAGTTTTTTACCTCGTTAAGAGGTGTTTTTATTTGATTTAATTGAGTATGACATAGATCCAAATAAATACCCATTTTATTTCCATACTATTTTAAATTTTTATTTTTAATGTAGATAGTTATTTCGATTAATTTAAAGGCCTCTTAGTTTAGAAATACTCCATAAATACTCAAATTTCAAATGAATTTAATACAGTTAGCATTACTTTTCTTAAGAAACAACTGGAAAATTGTTAAGTAAAACCCTTTTATAATTTCCATAAATATGTATGCCCACTTTCACAACCCCCACAGAATTTGCTCTGCATCTTGGCCATTTATTATTCAACTCACCGGATTGAGGGTGGAGTTGAAGTAGCCCAGCCAGAGGAAGAGCGAGGCCACGCTGTCGCTGATCTGACAGGCGGCGCAAAGGGGCATGGTCAGGGCCATGACGAAGAAGGGCAGCCAGCAGACGACGAAGGCGCCGGTAATGATGGCCAGCGTCTTGGCCGCCTTCCGCTCCCTCTTGGCCTCCAGCGTCTCCTTCCGCTTGTTCACCTTCTGCATGGGATTGGCGATGCTGGAGAGTTGCGACTGCTGCTGCTGCTGCTGTTGCGGGGGCGGCTGCTGACGGGGGCGTGGCTCTGGGGTCGTCGCCGATGGGGATTCGTTACCGGCGGAGCCGCATAGCGGATGCGACTGGTTGCAGCTCGTCAGCATGCTGGTTTTGGCCGTCATCGGTCCAGCGGCGGCGGTGATACCCTGTGAAGTCGGCGTTTGTGGCGATAGCGCCGATATCGATGTAATTGTGGTGGCATTCGACGTGCTGGCACCGCCTCCACCACCACCGGATTTTGTTGATTTCTGCAGCTGCTGCACTTGTTCGAGCTGCTGTTGCAACTGCGGATCCTCCAGGACCTCCACCCCGTTGGCCTTGCACTGTTCCTCGGTTTCTGCCGCCGACGTTGCTGATGTTGCGGTTGCGGGCTGTGGGCCATCGTGCTCCTGGTCCTCCTCTTGCTCCTCCCGATCCTCATGCTCGTCCTGCTCCTCCTGCCGTTCCGGTTTCTGCCCATCCTCGCACTTTCCCGATGCGGCCGCCCCGTTGACAGCGGACGACGACTTGGCTGCGGACTTGCCCTGCTGCTTGGCAAGGGCAACCAGGTGCGACACGGTGGCAATCTGGCTGCCAGACGTGCTGTGCGCCTGCAATGGAAGTTCGGTTGACTGGGTTTAGTTCAAGTGCAAGTTAATTAACTTTTATTTTTAGTTCAAGATGGTTTTACGCCATTACTCCTTCCTTGGGACCTTCATAGATTTAAGACTTATTTTCTACGTTTTATTCAAAATTTTAAAATAATTTCTATCATTTACTCTTGTGTTAAAAAATACCTCTTATTTTCTGACTTGTATTTAAAATCCTTAAATAATGGCTAATTACACAGGCCGACAAAATGTGACATGGGTCGGTGTCCAGCCCCCCCCCCCTTTTTTTTTAAAAAAATAAGCTTTTTTAAAAAAAAATTTCCCCCAACCCTAAAAACCTTCCCCCTTTTTTTTTTGGTTTTTTTTTTTTTAAAAAAAAAAAAAAAAATTTTTTGTTAGCTTTAATAATTGAAATAGTTAATTTTTTTTTTTTTTTTATTAAAAAATTAAAAAATAAAAAAATTAATTTTAGTCACTTTTGAAAGTTTAAAAAATGTTCATTTTTTTAAAAAATAAATGAAAAACTTTATTAATTATAATAATTAATAAATATTAGATGTCTAAAAATAAATTAATTATAATTAGCTTTGCTTATTAATATAAGATTTTGGATATAATGAATTTCTCAAATAGGTTTTTAACGTAGAGGCTTCTTAATTCGGAAAAAATTACAAAAAAATTTGACAACTCTTAAAAAAAAACAAAAAAAAAAAAAAAAAAATTTAAATTTATTTAAAAAAAAAAAAAAAAAAAAAAAAAAAATAAATAAAAAAAAAATTAAAAAAAAAAAAAAAAAAAAAAAAATAAAAAAAAAAAAAAAAAAAGGGAAAAAAAAAAAAAAAAAAAAATTTAAAATTTTTTTTATTGTTAGCTTAATAAATGAAAAAATTATTTAAGTTTAGGCTCACAATTAAAAAAATATATTTTTTGTAAAAAGTAAATGAAATACTTTAATATTATTAATTATAAAAATATATAAATATTATATGTTAAAATAAAGTGATTATAATAAGGTTTCTTATTAATATAATTTGGATATATGAATTTCTTTATAATGGTTTATTTTACACATTCAAAGAACCTATTTCAGATCACAGAAGAATTATTTAGCCAGCTTTTATACACAGTTCACCAGTTTTTGACCCGCGGATACCATTTTCATGGGCCAAATTAGCATTTTAAATCAGTACCCGCATTGCATTCATAAATTTATTTACTGCTCATCAAATTTCATGGCATTGGGGCCATAAATTTCGGTAAATGAATAAAATCAGAGAGTATATATTTACTTTCGTTAAGCTCGTTGCCCATTTTGGGGCAAAGGGCCCCGTTTCCTTCCCCGTTTTTTTATCAGACCTCAGCCACTCGAAAGGGCTGCTAGGCAATTTGCCGGATGTAACGTACATATTTGAGGAGCCGGTCCTGCTAACGGCTTGTCTAGCACTAAAATTCCCATAATCACCTGTAATTTGAGGCCGGCCGTAGGTGTGCGTCGGGCGGAAGTGGCCGCAAAGTGCTAAAATGAACTTTACGTGTGATAAATTGTGTCTACCGCGCAGCTGGCACCTTTTGCTGACGATAAAGATAATATTTGGGGATGTGAGGGCGAAATTGAATATCGCGATAGTTTCGACAGTTAGTGATCGTTATATTTTTTTTTATTTTTCAATAGAGTTTGCGTACCGGAAATATTTGGTGTATAATATACGGCTATTATATAAACAATTTAAAGAACAAATTGAGATATTTTACCTCACCTATTATTTTTTTGATACCCAATCTTTTCAACATCAAATGAGGAAACTTTGTGCTATTATTTTTCTGCCATCTCCATTGTGGTCGAAAGTAAGCCAAGGTTCAATTAATGTCCTGACCAAATTTTATGACTGTGATGCCGCCATAAATTGTGAAACATATTGTGGTGAGTATGTAATTTGTGTGTCGGGGAAGACATTCAAATTCAAAAAAGTATAAACTGCTGTTCCGGGAACAATGGAACAATATGGGATAAAACGCTGGACATCAGCTTAGTTCACATCGAATTCAATGGCCATTGGACAATTGTGAATAAACACAAAGCAGCAGAATGGAATCACAAAAGCACATATGTGTTTATATTAGGGTGGACCATTTTACTAAGATTAAAGCATTTAATTCTTACAGTTTTCCGATTTTCGAAAATATAGTTTTTTCTATAAAATATAGTGATGTCAGAATATGTAACATTTTTATAACATAACGTTTTCTTTTTTATTAAATAATGTTTAAAATTAAAATTAACGTTGTTTCTCTTTTATAAATTCCAAATTTGGGATGGGATTTAAATAACACAAAGTTTTATCGATGTTTATGCATTTAAATCGAGGTCCACCCTAATGTGCAATTGTGTGGGGACATTGTCATGGGCACTGTACTTGTTTGTGCCAATACCAGCGAGCCGTTCGATCGGCTCCTGCAGCATTTTTAATATGTTGCAAGGCATCAAGGCAAAAATCAAATCAAAGCCAGAACAAATCAAGCCGGAGCGAAGCCAAAGACAAATCAGCAACAAAGAGTCCAATTGCCAAGGCAAAGCAAAGAGCGTAGTTTAATTTACAGATACCGAACAATGGTGAACAATGGAATAGCATGGGGGAAATGAGAAAGAGGAGATGCACTTCGGGATACCGAGGGCTTTGCAATTTTGCACCTGCGGTGAAGGACATCCATTGAAGCGTGGATCGAAAGTTTTAATTTTCATCATAGTTTTCGACCAATTCAGTAATTATGCAGCTGGATATTAAATGTCCATTTTTGCCAGTTTCTCTTTTATTTCGCCAGACTTTTCTGTGGATTTTTTCGGTCATATTTAACGCACACACAACTATAATAAATTTATATATTTGCTTTGGGCCGTGCGTGCAAAAGTGTGTTTGTTTATTTATTTGGCCGTCCACTTATTTGCCCAAGAGGAAGGAGACCAAAAGAGAGAGGTGTGTGGAAGCCATTCCCAAGTAAATATTTAATCTCAGGTCCAAGATTGGGTGAGTGGGTGGGTGGAAGAGGCTGGTAAAAAGAGGAAGAAACGGGAGTTATGTTGGCCAAGCGAATGGAAACGAAAGCTGTTAGCCATAAGCCATCAACATATTTTCCTCAATTACTCAAGCGTATTGAGTGCCTTGTTAGGCGGCCCAGAATCAGAATGGGAATCGCAATCGAAATCCACGGGTCAAGGAGCCAAAGGCCCCAAAAGCCAACCTCCAACTCCCCTTCCTACAACTGAATTTTGGCTCCTGTTGCTATTTTGTTTTCATCCTCTTCATTGGGCATTTGCACTTTTACCAGAACTTTGTAACAAAAACTAAAAGTGGAGGTGAATAACTTATTTATGATCTTTAATTTATAAATAAAACTACAAATTGTATGACTAAGACTTAAAGTTAAGTTTCAAGTCAAAATAATAATGTTGTGATTGTTAAAGTGGATGAAAATTAGAGTGTCACAAAAATCACTACGGCAACTAAAAGTATGCAACAATATATTTTAAGGCCGGAAGTGGTACGGATTTATTGCAAAAAGGCGGCGTTATTTTTATGCTGCATACTTTTAGACACCTTCATTGAAAGCCCTAGTGATTTCTGGGACTTCCTCCATTTTTCAGGAACTGTCTTTTTAGAAAGAGTATTTCATTCTTCGACGTCCGCTGTTATTTATTCCATTCTTATTTTCATTTGAATCTGCCCTTCTCGCTTTCTGGCCTTTTGTCTCTGTCCCGCTTTTTGCATGCCACGGAGGAGGTGGAGGCGTATCCTTGTCACAGCTTATATTTGACTTTGCTATTACTTAACCGGCACGAACCTGGCGATTTCATACCCTCGCCCTCTGACCTCTGGCCAGTCGCCTTGACTTCGCCACCTCGTTTCGCTTCGACCAGTGCAAAGGTATTGGCCCGGCTTGTAGCAATGCAAACAAAACGTTCGAGCAATTTATTTCGGCTCTGCTCTTTTATGGCTTGCTTTCGCCCCTTGGCTTTAATGCGTGTTATTATTGAATGTGTGGCCCCGCTTGGATTATTTTTTAGCCATAAAATCGCTGGACGAAAATTGAAGTACATAAAATGCGGCTAAATACAAATTTGGGTTTTGGGTTTTGGGCCATCTGCCTCTTTCTTTGGGACCCCCAAAATAAACCGAAGGCTTTGCCTGCATTTTATCGCTGACATTTTGGTCGAGTGGCGGATAATTTGCCTGGATTGTTTGGGCTTATCCTTCGGAGTGGGTTTCTTATCCCAGCACTCAGGGCAACAGCTCCATTTGCAATTATCAAATTGCCATTAAATGATTAATTGGTGTGGTATAAGAAATATTTGAAAGACGTTTAAGAATGTTTAAAAAGTAATTTAAAGTAAATAAAATAAAATATTTTTTACATTTTTGAATAAAGTTTCTTAAAATTTGTTTAAAGCAGAGGTACAAAACTCCATTAAACTCTTCAACCAGAAAAGTTGTTATTATTATTTTTGAAAAGTTTATAACTATTTATTTAATTTTAGAAAAACCACTATCATTTTTCACTCGAAAGTTTTACTCAAAATTTAAGGCACAGAATTTCCCTCAATATATATAATTCATTCTTCCTCCAAGAAATATGTCTCTGGAAGACAAGGAAAAGGTTAATCGCACCCCCGCATCCCCTTGGATCATTATCAGGAAATGTTGCCCCAGGAATTCTCAAGTGCATATTGCTGCGACGACAGCCGGGCTAATGAGACATTAGCCGAGTGAAAAAAGGCTGGGCCTGGCTGCCCAAGATGGGGAAGACCAGTGAAAAGGTAGCCAAGAGGAAAAATCATTTCCATCCCCCAAAGGTAAAAGACGGCAGGGCAAAGGGCACATCGTAGTTGGAGTCGCATAATAAAGCGAGAAATGAGCTGAACTCTGGTGGGTTTATTTTTGGTCAGCCTATCTCCCGGACTATCTGTGTGCCTTTCATTAAAGTATGCGTGTGCATTCGGAGCCCAGGACACAGGAAGCACAGCCCCAGATCGTTGGGCACATGTCATGCGTTATGAAATTTAGCTTTAAGCCCAAAAATGCGCATTGTTTTCTCTGATTCACGTGGAAACATTTTTTAGCTGCTCATCGCAAAAAATTGTTTCTTTAAGTTAAACCAAAAAATTTTTGTATTTTATAATATGTAAATAAATATATTTTTTAATATTTTTCTTTACAGAAAATTTAATAAGAATCATTAATTCTTTTTAAGTAATGTAAAAACCAGGGACCGTAAATAATGGTTATCGATGTATTTTTCAAGCAAAAAAATCATCCACTTGGAAAAGCCGTATAAACAAACGAAATATACCAATCGGCTACTATTTGTGTGCTCTATCCATATCCGCAATGATTTTTTACTTCTTGATGTTTATGCATTTTACTCCATTTTAATAATTATTTGTTGAGTTTTTTTCCATCGCTCAAAGAATAATTATTATTATTGTGAGCAAAAAAATATCGATCCAAAAATAATGATTATTTTTTGAGCGTTATTTTTTCGCTCAAAATATCGCTCAAAGTGCGATGTCTTCTTTCTCAGAAGTTTCTTTGAAAAAATGTTTTCGCAGCATTATAAAGTGAGCCTCGACGACCCCAAAAAACCTCATTTATAGATTTGAAAAAAAAGGTTAAAAAATAATTTTTTATATATATGGAAGAGCGATATTTTGAGCGAAAAAATAACGCTCAAAAAATAATCATTATTTTTTGATCGATATTTTTTTCGCTTACAAAAATAATAATTATTCTTTGAGCGATTGAAAAAAACTCAACAAGTAATTATTAAAATGGAGTACAATGTATAAAAATCAATAAATAATCATTAAATATTGATTTTTATTATATCACTTATAATGATTACGGTTTACTAAAAACAGCGTGAATATTTTTCTGTTATGGAAATGATTTCATACGGATGTTTCGATGTTTCCAGAAATTTAAAAATATTTTTGTATACATTATACATAGACAGGAAAAAAGTTCGATATGAAATAGGGACAATTCTACCTTATTTAATATCAATACAAAGCCGATATTATTTATGTCATATTTATTATACAAACTTATCAACTTGATATCGTATCCTATTATATAAAATACCAAATGTAGTATTTTTTGAACAAATAATGTAAAATAAGATAAACATAATCTTTAATCATATCAAAATGATATGAATAACTTGATCTTTAAAAAATATAAAATTGACTAGCACAAATAATCTGATCTTTTGTCAATGTTTTTTCTGTATATAATATGATTCCAATTTTAATTTAAAGTGATTGTTTTGTGAACTTACCTCGACGCCGGCTCGACTTTTGGTGTCCACATTCGAGCTGCTGAACTCGGTGTCCTCAACGGTGTTGACCGTGTTCGTTGAGTTCCCGTCGACGAGGCACAGGGCCCTGCCCCCGGATCCGGGCCCCGAGACGCCCCCGGCACTTCCGCCCTTGGTCTTGGCCGTGGAGAATCTGCCGAGCCGTAGACGCAGTCGATTAAGTTTCGTATCTGTTGCCGCACCTCCGTCCGGCTGAAAGAGATAGAGCGATTGGGCTGGTAAGAGAAGGCACTCTAGTTGCGTCTGCATTGATTTTTCGCCTTTGACCTGTGTGTATGACTTCAAATTAAATTCATACTTCTTCGCACAGCATTAAAATGAATAACAAAAGAGAGCGGCGGCAAATTTACATTTTCGGCTTTTTGTGCCTTACGCTTCAATAAACCGCAATTTGTACGCATATCCAAAAAGAAAAAAAGTTCCAAGCTGAGCCGAAAGATCCGATCCGATCCCCTTTTTTTGTTCTCCTGTTACCATATGCATATGTAAGTGGGTTGCGTTCCGTAAATAAATTGTGTGTATTTGTTACAGTCGCCCAAGAACATCTCCCAAATGGCCCACTTCGTCGGACCGCCCGGCAGCTCAAAATAAATTTCACGTTTGACTGCTCCCAGCGCTTGACCTCTTTGATTTCTTCCCTGCCGCGTATCCTTTTTTCGTCCTTTGGTAGTGTATTCAGTTCGTGGGGACAATGAACTTCGACTTAGAGAGGATTCAGTTTTTAAGAAAAACTCGATTAGCTTCTATTTTTGGGTTTCGAATTAATTGGGATGTCTGAAGAGGGAATCTTTAAAACAAAAATAACCAAGAAAATATTAAATTTCCTAAAGTAAAATTATTCAATTAAAAAGTATAATAATCCTCTTTTAGTTTTAAAATATGTTACATTTTAATTTATACAATTTGTAGTTTTCATTTCACAAAAATAAAATTTGATTGTAAATATATCTGAATAAATAATTGTATTTAGTATTTAGGCGATAACTCTTTTAAATAAAGTAAGAAAAAAATCGTAATGTATTTAAAATTGTAAAAACTGTTTCATATTTTGAGAGTCTAATTCAAAGTTCAGTATAACATAGTGAACTTTTACTTCGACCATCTTATTTTCTAAATTTAACCGCTTTGTGCGTGTATTTTTGTCGCCTTCAATCCGACCAAATTAAAGTAATTGAGTAGTCCAACCCTTTGCCATCGGCCTCGTCATCTTTGTCGCCATCGGTTCGGTCTGTTGACCCTTTGGCAAGTCGATATTGCTTTAAATAAATAAAATTATGCTGATTTTGCCTCCGTGTGCGGAAATTTCAACGATGAGCAAAAGGGTTCCGAGTCGATGGTGATCCAAAAATGGTGTGAATATTTGCACAAATAGTATTAAATGGGTTTACAACATGGCCCAGGCCCATGAGTGTGACCTTCATCTTGTGGGCCCCGAAAACTAAGGGAAAATCGAGAAACAAAATCTTCGTCAAGTGTCTTGTGGGTTGCGAAAGTAGAAGGAGGAGAAAGTTCTGCGGGGTTGAATGGTCAGATAGCTTATTAAATATTGAAGAGTTTAAGCTTAATTAGGCGCAGGGAGAAAAGATATCCCAGTGGGAGGTTGAAGTCTGTCCGAAATTAATAAATAACAGGCTTCAGTTTTGCTTTAAGTCTTCAGCTTGGGAGCTGGTATTAAATTTCAATTGAAGCCTTGAAGAAGCCCATCATTGAATCTTCACCTAGATAAATTCGAAGCGCCGGAGAAAAGCCATTATTGTCATGCCAAGAAAAACAATGGCGGGGGAAGTTTACTTGGGGGAAAACTAAAGTATCTACGCACTTGTGTGTTACTTAAATGCCAAGGCAAACATGGCCAACACACACACATGCACACATGCACGTGATAAGAGCGATAAGCGCTCTCTTTTCAGCAGTTCAGCAATAACGATAAGGATGCGGATACAACCTCGGCTCAATGTGAATTTTATGCAGATGTGCTGTCAGCCGACTGTTTTTCGCTTTCTGTTGCTGTTGCTGTTTTTGTGTGTTTAAGCGTTTGCATAAACGATACACTCATTCTTGTCCGTCTGTAGTCCTTAGCCATTTCTGGCACTTTAGCTAATTTATGTAAATTGTTTTCTTATTTAATTGTTTTTCTTGCCGAGACACATGTTCAGCTTCCGAAAAAAGAAATGCGTTCTTACGTATGTGCGTGTGCTCGTGTGTATTCAATAATGTGTTTTCATGCGATTTATGTTGGTCCTGAGTGTGACAAGAATGCTCTGGTATTAACTACACTGGGCAACAAAATTTATGGCTTCAGGAGGCCAAGGGTCCCGCTGGGAAAGCTAGGCTAGGCGAAAATTAAAATAAATCCGCAATAAATAACAGCCAAATCAAATGCAAGCTCAGGCTCAACTGCTAAACAATAAAGACTGCATTTTTCTGTAAAATTAATTAAAATTGTTGTTTAGATTTTCTTTTGGATAGATCTTGTTTGAATATTTGTTGTTGAATATTTACTATTTTTTATATTTAAATTCATAAACTAAACTGAATCTGAAGTTTGATTTATATTTTGTACCTCTTACAGTTTATATTTATTTTATATATTTACATATTATTTATTTAATGCATATTTTATTTATAAAATATTTTTTTAACTAAAGAGTGTACTCTCTTCTTTTGCCGTTGGTTTTGTTGAGTATTTTCCCACTTTTGGACCCAGACACAAACACGTCTTCGTACGTCGCAGATGGCGAGTTGGCCAAATATGCTTTTCACTCATGCGATGTCGGGTCCTTGACTGTTTTGTCACATGTTTGGCTATGAAAATAGTGTCAATATCTGTAGCAATCGATTGGACAAGTTGTTGCAAATGTGATTGTGATGATGGTGTGCTCGTTCGCCTGCCCCTGGGCATTTGGCCGTAACGTAACTCAGCCCGCAATGTTGGATTATTAATAACATTTGCCTGACCGCTCGCCCGAACATAATGCCAATAGCTGAATTACAGATAATACCTGCTTCCCTTAATTGCCATTTGCCCGCTGCTTTCCACTGACTTCCATCAGTTAATTGCAAAATCAATGCGTGTGCTTGTGTGTGACCGGCATAAAAATTACATTTAAATTAAAAGTACAAACATCGAGTTACATTTCGGGGAAAATTAGTTTTAGCCAATGATAGTTACATTTGTGAATTCGATTAGGCCGCTTTGTGCCATCGAATTATTTAACAATTTGCCAATAAACATACCGAATGCAAATGCAATTAGCTCGAAATTTATGCCAGATAAAGCAGTCTTAGCAACGAGAAAAAAAACGCAGCGGGTTAGAATCGATTGTATACCCTCGTCAAAGAGCAGGAAAGCAATTTTCGATTTGAAAGCATTTAGTTATAAAAAAATGAACGAATAAAACCAATGAATAACAAGTCGCTGGCCTAATGCCCTTTTCTGTGGATGAAAACTCCCACCGAATGTGGGGAAATCTTTTCAATTCGATCGCACGGTCAACAGAACTGGTGTAAGGGATATATCAGATGTGTGTGCAGGGTAAATATATTCTAAAATCAACAGCAAAGGACAGGGAACCCGACTAGTGAGTGGCACTAAATGGATGTGGCTGTGGATCTCAGGGCGTGTGTGCTGTGGGTGTGCGGGTAAGTGTGTTGACATGTAACTAAAGCACGCATGTGAGGCTGTATTGGGCCGGACATCGACGAAGGACATGGGAGCAGGACATCGGGGCAGGACCAGGGACAGGACATGTGTACCAATGGCAAATAGTGGACAACTTGCCTTGTTTGCGCATTGAATTTGTGATTCCAATGACTTTTTGCTTTAGTCCGTGTGATATGCACACACGTGGCTTTATACAGATGCGGTCAAAACAGTAGAAGGGAACCCTTTTACAATTAGGAATAGGAAAACATAAATGTTAAAATAAGTGTCTAAAAGAATGCAACAATATATTTTAGCCCAATAGTTGTATGAATTGATACAAGAAGACGACTATTTTTTATTCACTGCATACTTTTTGACAGATGTTTTGATTCAAAAATACAATTTACAATTATTGAACGAATAATATTATTCATATACATTTTTTCATCTAGAGTACCTTTGTGAATAATAAATCGTATTCTCCTTGACCAAAATACTACACTATTCTTTTGCCCAAACCTGTATATAAAAGCGCATGTGTTTGTAAGTGCTTGCAAACATTTTTACGTCAAATGGTCATTTTCAATTTAGTAAGCACTAAGCTTAAGCCAAGTAGCATCTTTCCGGCAGGTCAGGCCAAGATTGAGGGGAAAATAAATAAAAAGCCTGGGCGAAAAAGTCAGTTGGAGGGCAAAAGTAGAGAGCAAACTCTAGATACCCTATTGCGTGTTAAAAGTTAAGCAAAGTCAAGCGGAAGATTCTTTTGCAGCGAAAATTAGTTTTTAATTTCGTTGATAAACAACTTGGAACTTGTTGAAAATTCTTTCTTAGCAGCGAAGAAAACAAAATTACAATTTGGCCAGACTTGCCTCGAACACATCCTGTGCGTATTAGTTTGACCAGCTGACGCATTAGGGCCGAAACTTCTGGCCGAAAGGACTCTTACACACACTCTCGCCAGTCGGGACAAGCTGCCACTTATCGCTCAACTTTCGGCCAAGAAGGCTTTAATGTCCACGTGGCGTATGCTTAACTTAAGTCCTGACGGCCGCCCACTTTCTTAGCTCTTTTCCTCCTTCTGCGTGTACCAAAATCCTTTGCGATGCATATTACATCACTCGGGATGCTACTGCCTAATTACGGCCCCCACATTCCCTTTGGGTTTGACGGGCAGTGCTATGCATATTTTAATTGGGCAGTATAATTCCATAAGGTCAGGCCGGGTCCAAGTCATGTGCATAGAAATTTCAGAATGTTGCCTGCGGTTTGGCCTTTGACTGACCCTCGTGCCTCGGTCGAAATTGTGGCCTAAATGGGCGCGGTTTGCTTCGATTGAGGGCGTAATTGCAAAGGCCAGGCTGTGGTTTTGACTTGAGATACGAACTTGCAAGGCGATACAGGGTGTTCATTTCAACGAAACTACAAAAAAAAAGGCGCGATCAAATTGATATGCGCATGGTAAATTTTTGGCATATTGTTTTTACCGTGCAATAGCGATTTCTCTCCGTCGGAGATTCTCTGACTATGAAAATGAAAGGAAGCAGCAATGGGACACCTTAAATTACGTGAGTGGGAGCGAGAAGTACAAACTCTCTCAATTCGAAGTAGAACGAAATAGCCCTTAAAGTAACTTAAAATCGATCATCGTTTAATATCAATTTTTTTACTGAACTGAACTCTAAACTATGTACTGAACTCTAAACTATTACAAATTATTTAATTTTGGACTTGGTATATATCTAAATATTTATTTAAACTCTTATAGTTTTAGGTTTAAGTTTTGGTTTTAATATTAAATTTTGCAATATTATTTATTATCATGCCATTTGTAATCTATATAGTGCTGTCGACCGAGTGAATGGGACACTGTGCATGTGCGCCATTAAGTCCGGTCAATTACGGTTGCCAATCAATTACGCTTAGTGAATATGAAGTTTCTGCACTATACCTGATTATTATTGACCGCCGCCTCGACGGGTCGCGGTCGTCGGCGATGGATGCGTTTGCGGGCCGTTTGATAGATTTTCCAGTACAACGCCAGGATGACCATCAGTGGCACGTAAAATGTGCTACAGGTGGCAAATACCTGTAAAGGGCAACGAATCGATGATGTGAGTAAAGTAGTCGCCTGAATGCACAGGAACTTGCGCTTTCGCCCACCTGATAGGAAACATCCTGCGATACCATGCACTTCTGCTGTTCGATGCGTTGCAGATAGTCGGGATCCTTCCAGCCGAACTGTGGAGCCAGGGAGACAATCACCGCCGCCGTCCAAACGCAGAAGATCATCATAAAGACGCGGTTGCTGGTCCGCGAGTGGATGTAGTCGATATTGGTCACCGCCCAGTAGCTATAAAAAAAATGTTAAATATAATTTAGTAGTTATTTTTAAATATAAATAAGTTATGTTATTTTAACCCGTTCCCTAAGAGTATTCAAATTAATTCGACCACCCATTTGCAGTTTGTGGTCACTTAAACGTGCTTAGTTACTCGATTATCTCAATCTACAATCCTTTAAATAAAGTGCTGCATAAATCTAGGCGCTGCCATAGATTCAGAAAAAAAATACAGGCGCACAAACTGTATAGCAAATAGCCTTATCCATATGGCAGGGCGACAAAGTAAAGAAACGTGTTCGATATTCAGTTTCCGTCTCACAATTTTCCGTAGCGCTTTGCAACAAACTTTTTGTTGCTTTTTTCTATTTGCCAAGCGGGCCAAAACATGTTTTATGTATGTCTGCGTGCGGGTGTCGGTGTGCGTATGTGTGTGTCTATGGGCGAGGCATTTTAAAATTTCCATTTTTCGTAGCTTGGCAAAATAAGGTTAGTCTACTCATTGATGCTGTGGATACGCAACTTTTTAAACTGAATGGTTAAAAGAGTCTTTGGGGATTCACTCTTAATGATAACAAAAATTCAGCTCACATTCTCTTATGTTTGGCTTTACTTTTGGCCCAGTTAGTGTCTTAAATTGAGTTAGCCTTGGCTATTATTGGTCATGCTTGTTTGTTTTGGGGCGAGAGGGCATTTTCTATTCGTTTGAGTCCCCCTCTGATTGTCTGCCAGCTAGTTTCCCCATTTGGTTTGGGTGGAACAACATACCTAAACGAGTTTTTAAAATGATACGTGGTCTGTATCCCACTCGAACACATTCGAATCGCCTCTATAAGTGGAACTTTCGGAGCGTGTTGAGTGTAATGTGGTCTCCTGGCTGATGATGTTGCCATTAAAGTGCTAATAGCCAAGGGGAAAGTGGGGTAATATCTATTTACACAGATTAATTTTCGTAAAATAAATTCAAGTCAGATGAAGACAATGTATGTGTATACGATTTCATTTATGTTTTCGGGACGATGAAGTTTTAATGACCTTGTTAAATTTAAATGTAACTAAAATATTATAAATACCTAGTATTACAAATGTAGGGGAGAGTGGGGGAATTTCGTCACAGGGGCAATTTCGTCACCTGCAATATCTCGGAATCCATTAGTCGTAAAAATATATAATTTTTTTGTTTTAGTCCTTCAAGACGGCCAGACACAACCAATGCATTTGTTTTACACAGAAGGCCAAGATAATTAAGCTATAATATTAAATGTGTTTTAACAGTTCAAAAGCTACATTTAGTTCTCGACGAAATTTTTTCTGTATGCCACAATTCAAAAGGAATAAGATACACGATTTTTTATATAATACACAGTGCTATAATGTGCATTTCTGCGTCAGTGATTTTTAACTTCGCGCCTAATTTCGCAAGAAAAATAATTATTTCTAAAAAAGTACGGTCTGGGGAAATTTCGCCACCCTACGCTAAGGGTAAATTCGCACCTATTTTAAATACATATTTTTATATTTGACGAGATGGCTAACGAACAGACTACCAGCAGCAGCAACAAATATAGGACGTCAACAAAAATGGTACGCTTGATTAGTGTAGCATATTTTCAGGCGTTAAACTCCCTACATTTTTCAGGTGACGAAATTTCCCCAGTTGTGTGGTGATTTTACCCCCTGTGTGGTGAGATTGCCCCAGTATATTGGTTTTACATTTTATTTTTTTATAAATCACCAAGCTAATTAAAAAAATAGGGGAATGTCACATTTTAAAGCTTGGTGCTAACCGCATTCAACAATAAAAATAGAAATATGATAACGTGTCTCAAGATGGACAAAAAATAGCTTTGAAAAAATGCTGACGAAATTCCCCCACTCTCCCCTAATATACACAGGAAAATAGATGCTTAGGAAATTTGTTAGCTTTTTACCTTTTCTATCATACTCGTTTATTCCTTGGATAAAATAATCTTTTACTTATTTTGCGTAGAAATATGTTTCTTCTCATCTGCGTTGCGGCTTGTGGGAATTAACGCCAGGAAACCACGAGATACCAAAATTTCTCACATGCTAGCAGACGAAGGCTCGAGTTTCCTTCATTTTCCGATGCCGCGCTCTGACCGCAGCGCTTTAAGTGGCAGCCAAAAACAACAACAACAACATCAACATCATCATCGGCCGAAGCCACGGCAAACACATGTTTATGTATTAATTAAATGCAATTTGCATAAACAAATATTATTTTGCCTTGTCGAGAAGGCAGAGAAAGTCCCTCGACTCTTCGCTCGTGTGTGCGCTCGTGTAAGTTGAAATCAACAATTAAATGAGTTGACTAAGCACTCGAAATGAGCCATAGATGGCATCTATATATGTGGCAAGGGTAAACCGATGTGAAGTGCCCTTTCGGCCATAGAGCATAATTTAATTTGTCTACAATTGAGCGCTCAAATGACAGCTTTATAAATATTTGTAAATGGCGCTGCGTGAAAGCAATTAAGTGCCACTTAATTGTGGGAATTCAGCAAACTAATTCTGCATTGAATTCGGTATTTTTATTGAGATATTGAAGCTGAATTTAAGCCGATCACTACATAATTCCATCACCCTTTGCACCGGACTCCTCGCGCATCACGCATACGCCATGTGTGCTGCGCAAATAATAAATAATAATGAATGATGATGACTGCTGATGGCCGCTGACTTATGTCTGGGCTGAATCTGACTTTCCCGGGGACCAGCCAATATATTCCGGCTTGTCCTCTGTCTAGGACAACTCCAGCGGACCAGCCTCCTTCCCGAATTCATTAGCATAATATAATCGACTTCAAGTTGGCAATTTTGATTGACTGCTTAAAATTAATGGAATTTTGTGATTTCGCTGTCAGTGCTCGGCGTGAATATATATGTATGTATTTACTTTTTTACATTTCCCTGAAAGAGGCTTTTTTTTTGAAAAGAATTGCTGTACCGTGCATACGCAATGAAAAATCCATGCAAATTAATAGCGAAACCTAATAAAGTGTCTGTCATGCTTTTGTCAAAGTATTGCCGTGCCGCAATTTATATAACTCATACGAGCAGCGGATAATAATTTGTTATAGAATGAAATATGCCCGCCGGCTCGGTCCGCCGTTAAAATTCAATTGAATCGAAGTCAATCACTTTGTGAGAGTATCTGACGACGTTCGTCGCCAAGCCGAGTTGAGTGATGAATTATAACAATTTATTTGTGAGCCAAACAATTTAAATGCGATTTTTCCATTATGCTTGTCTATGCCTAAGTGTGTGTGTGCTTTTTTTTCTTGCCGGAGTGTCTGATAAATGTGCGGCACTCGAGTGTAACACTTTTTAATGCATTTAAAAATTGCGCGCCTAGCACACAAGAAAGTCATTACTCTTATGGCAGCCCAAAAACGAGAAAATTGAAAAAAGGAAAGGAATAATGGTGGAGGGCTGTAAAGGTAAAGAGTGTGAGTATACTTTTTCCTAACTTATTTTATTTAGGCACTTTTGCAATTATATTATCACGAATTCGTAATTAATTTTAGAAAGCCAGCTTTTAATAGTTGAATCTTTTTTTATTAAATATAAATATGGGTTTCTATCATCGTCATTTCATTTAAAAGTCTTCGTGACAATTATTTTATCCAACAGGCCGCAAACTCATTAATACTAATCCATTTAGAACAAAAGGCAGCGAACACGACTGGCTTTTTAAGCTATCCATAATTAATTGATATTTTCTATATTGTCAAGTGGCGACAGTCAATATTTATCTACGCATCGGATCTTATAATGGGGACTTTTTGCGATTCCCATTTCAATGCATATTTGATGCCTGTCGCCTCCTGTTTGCGTTTTATGCTTTATGGCATTGTTTTTTTCACGTATAGGAAAATGTTGACTTTTTTCTGCTTTCATATGGCCGATATCTCGCCTCAACTAATCGATTGCATTACATTTGAAATCAGCTCAACGAAGAGCAGGGAATAAAAAACAAAAGCATAAACAAAAAGTTGATTTTATTCACCTGCGGCTGCCCTTTTTTGGTCGTCGATTTTCTGTGCTTTGAACAACAGAAAATAGTTGGGTTGATGGGTTCACGTGTGCAAGTAATAGTTTTGTTTTGTTCTAAGCCCTGCGGCATGTGTGGCATGATTAAATTTTTGCAAAAACTACTTGTTCCCTTTCCCATTTAACAATGGACGGAGTAAACAATAGATATGGATCCCATTTTCGCCTTCGAATATTGTGTTTTCCTCCAGGCAGACGCATTGTAATTAAGGTTTTAGAACCAGAATATATACCATTAACAGAGCACCAGCTTTCATGTTTGGTAAAAAGAATTTCGCGGTCTTATTTGAGTAATCTCTCAGATTATAGATGATATAGAATGTGGGGCAGAGTATGTTATTGGATTGAAATAAATTATATTAAATTACATTATATATATATAATTATTTATATAATATAAAAATTATATTTAAATTTAAATTATATTTAAAAACAAGCATATAAAGAGTTCTAAAAATTACTTATATAAAAGTATGCAACAATAAATTTAGGATCCGAAAGTCCTTTTAATTTATTTCGATAGGCCAAAGCCATTTTGTTTAATGCATACTTTTCGTTCTTTTTATATGTCATTTCAAAACAATTACACTTTCTGCCAATATTATTTAAATTACATTTTTAAAAACAATGTAATTGTAAATTTACTCATGAATAAATCGTGCAACTTATTAGTACCATCAGTTTATTCATGAGGAAACTGCGAAAATGGGCCAAATTGATATTTAATCAGGTTTTTTCAGTTGAGATGTCAGAATACATTAGATTATTTTTTATGAATAAAAAATTAAAATCCAATCTGAATGATGTTTAAACTTTAACTACTGGAGGTGTCAAATGTCTTTAGTGCTGTTCACAAAAACGCTTATTTGTTGTTCTCCTTTTTCCCTTTTCTAGTTGCTTTGTTTTTCATAAGGATTATTGCCTCTGGGCCTCGTTTT